GGGGAGCAGCCGATAAGCAACCGGGATTAATATTTCTGACTTCGAAAAAATGTGAGAGAAAATTATGGCCCTGGTGATGGAATCCATTATGTACAACAAAATGTTCTTTCATTTCGAGACTCACATTTCAAAGGTACTTTGGGTTGATATTTTTTTTTTCGTGTGTACACAGCAGGTTAATTATAGAGCATGGACATCAGTTACGTCATCCCATTGACGAATTTCTTCTTTTTTTTTTTTTGGTAGTGTTTCCCATAGCTTCTGCCCAATTAAAAGACATCAATTACGATATTGCAAGAATTACATGACCCCACGTGATTATGTACAGGAAGACCTCTTTACCTACTACCAGCATGTCGTCAGAACGCAAATTAGGAGATCGTTTGGTTCCCTCTCCAGGCAAGTGACTCTCCTAAATAGCAGATATTTGTATAAGGAATTAAACCTCACCCCAGGATTTGGTGGAATGGTAAATTTATTCTATTCGTTAACTATCGGTGCTTTGATATAATGCTATCGAAAGGGGATGAGTAGTATCTATGGCAAGACTACCGACGAGGAGAGCAGAAACGTACTGAGGCATGCTATTGAGATCGGCGTCACACTTTGGGACACGCACGTTCATTTCAATTTCTGTACCTATATCTTATCTAATTATCAAACCAGTGCCGATATTTATGGATGTGGTCACAAGTGAGTGGACGTAAATATTTCGTTGGATTATGCTGATTCACAATTCCGACCCACAGTGAAACCCTTATTGGTGAGGAACCAGGCAATATTTACTTACCACTGGATAACCATGGCTTAACTCCCCAGGCTCTGTGCTGAAAGAAAATGACAATCGCTCGAAAGTCTTCCTCTGCACAAAGTTCGGTAATGTCTTCGACAGGGAGACAGGAAAGCCTACCGGCACGGTGAGAGGTGCGTTATCGATACCCCCAGTAGAATTATGATGGTAGTTATTTAAAAACCATGTCCATTTAGGCGATGCAGCTTACATTCGACAGTCCATCGATGAATCAATTGCCAGGCTGGGTTTCACGCCTGATCTATACTACCAACATCGCGTTGATCCTAAAGTGTACGTGTGACGCTATGAAAGTATACTCCTTTCTAAGAATTATGGTTAGTCCCATCGAGGAGACGTACTCAACACTCGAAGAGCTTCGCCGGGAAGGAAAATTCACATATATCGGCATCTCAGAGCCCAGTGAAGAATCTCTGAGAAAGGCAGCGAAGGTACCTTGCGCACCTAACAAAAACACAAGCCACATTGTTATCATTGATGACAGGTTGCAAAGATATCCGCCCTTCAAATTGAATATTCCCCATGGACTACAGACATTGAGCGAAGTATGATCACATTACAATCTCAAGTCATCGACTCACGCAATGACAGACGGTTTACTCGCCGCCGCAAGAGAACTGGGAATCACGATAGTGGCCTATAGTCCCCTCGGTCGCGGTTTCCTCACTGGGAGATATAAGTCCGTCGCAGACTTTGACCCAAGTGATAGGAGGCTACAGCACCCTCGGTTTGCAGAGGAAAATTGGCAGAACAACTTCAACGTGAGCACCGTCTAATCTTTGATGCAATGTACTATCGGGGCCTAATTTTACATGCATAGATCGTGCAGAAGTTGCAGGCTATTGCTGAGGAGAAAGGCATTACGCCCGCACAGCTTGCGCTTGCGTGGGTCTCAGCACAGGGGGAGGACATTATCCCTATTCCAGGTAACATTTGCTACATGATGAGATAACCTTCTTTTAGTGAGACTAGTATTTACTAGGGACTACGTCTATTGCACGTCTTGATGAGAACTGGAAATCCAGCGACGTGCATCTTACTACCAAAGAACTTCAGGAAATTAGAGAGGTGGTTGATAAGGCAGATATCAAGGGTGATAGGTATGAGTACGAATATACTATGCAATACTTATCCCTCATCAAATATCCATAGGTATCCCCCTGCCCAGATGAAGGCGATTGGAAAATGAAGTCTAAAAATTATTGAAACGAAATTTTAACTACCAGTAGACAGTTATCAAGGAAAAAATTGCTTTCACATAAAACATTTAACGCCGTAATTGACCTTATCAAAGCAGGAAGAAATCCTTACCCCACGGACACGCGAATACGTCTCATTCTTTTATATAACGACACGAGAAATTGCTACTTGACTGCACTTGCAAATTTAAACCGTTAGTTGGGCTAGCAGCCACATCCGCGGTAGCCATACGTTCCAGTTCCATGCAGAAGGCTCGCAAGAGGTTCTTAATATAAGACTCATATTGAGAAAGAATCACTGTGTTAATCTGTCAATCAATTGTCAAACAGTTCAGCTCTGAACACCAGTCGCATTGACATGTCAACATAGATCACGCTGCAGCAATAGGCACTAAACACGATCCAGAAGTAACAAATTGTACATGGGAAGCAAGGTATTGGCGCAGTTAGGAAGGAAGCAAACAGCTGACATTTTAAAAAGAATCCTGGAATATAGTCCCACACCAACGATCTTCAGACAACCTTGTCAAGCTTAATCAATCAGTAATGGTTTAGACGTCATCATCATCGTCTGCGTTCGTATTGTGTTGCAAGTGATTTCCCCAAGTTGATCTTCTTATAGACCTATCTTCGTTCTTTCTACTGCCATTCGTTGCACCCGAGCAGTCAGCAGCAGGGGTTCGGTGACCGCGCTTCTTGTATGGCAACGTCGGTGGATGGTCCTCGTTGCCATCGTCTGTACGGTTTTCATCTGAAGTGGCCTTCTCCTTGTAATTTGTCGGACCTCCGTGATGTTGTTGGGAAGGGGATTGTTCTTGTTGAGGCTGAGATGGAGGTTGGGGAGGGGGTAGGGGTGGTGGCTGTTGGGAAGGCGGTAGGGGTTGTGGCTGTTGGGAAGGCGGTAGGGGTGGTAGCTGTTGGGAAGGCGGTAGGGGTTGTGGCTGTTGGGAAGGCGGTAGGGGTTGTGGCTGTTGGGACGGCGATGGGTGTTGTTGCTGCTGAGGTCGCAGTGGAGGCTGAAGCTGGCCAGGAAACGGATGTACGAAGTAAGGATACAAGCCGGGAGGCATTTGCGGGTAGATGAATTGTCCATGAGGTGCGAATATAGGCTGCCCATGCGGACGGTGATAAGCATCCGGAATAGGACCCTCACTATGCACGTTAGAGCCGACAAATTGGGGTGCGACCTGTAGACCGGCCCAATATGTGGGTGGGATAGGAAACAAGGCGACGTAATATCCCTCAGGCGGTCTGAGGGGCATTGGTACGATCTGTCCACCTGAATATGACGGTGCGCTCGTAAATGGCATCATCTGGCCGTTGGGCCTTGCTGGGGCGGCTACAAAAGAGGACACATAGGCGGTAGTAAAAAATCGGAGGAAAGGGACGCGCACGTTGATGATGCGCCTCCAGTTCCTCCTGACGAATTTGCACACTAAAGGGACGTCGAAAATTTGTCTTTCTTCTCTTTTTATGAACGACGTCTTGGCAGCTGCTGGTCAGACCGTACTTGATGCATCTCTGACAAGGACGGCTTACGTCGCAGGCCTTAGAAGACGCAGCACAGTTAGTGCACTGACAACAATAATATAAGACAGCCTATTTAGAACGAACACAGAAAGAATCTTACTGCGACTTTAACCTGCTTACGCTTAGGAGCTGTTGACCCACCGGGAATGGGCTGGTCCTTTAGAGACGCTGGCATGTAATCTGACAGCACTTTTAGAACTATGTAACCCAATTGATTACGATAATAAGATACGCACCTGCAGGGGTTGGAGGAATTACATTCGGGTATACTCCGAGAGGATGAGGTACTTGCTCGACATTGGGCAACAAATGTGTATTCAGATCTTGGCTTCTGTCACCTGAAGGAAAATATGCAGAAGGTGTTATAGTATAAATTACCTTTGGCGGTAGAAAACGAGGGTCCACTCGCTTGTGGCTGCGCGCCCTCTACGTCAGCGGCGCTTCCCGCAATTTGATTTCGGCCGTCAACATTGGACAGTGCAGGCGATTTTGAATCGCCTGTCATGAATTATTGTGCTGGGAGGAAACAACGTGATTACTTCGAACCACAAAAAAAAGGCTTGTAGATTTATCTGTTTAGAAATGTTGGAACTGACTCCGCACTGATGGGGACAATGACAGCTGTTCACGCAACGCCTCAAAATTCTACGTCGTCAAATAACCAAATATGTCATTAACATTGAATGAGCACTTACGACACGAATGTCTCGTCTGATGTTCTGACTTGGTGGAAAGGTAAGTTGGGTGGTGATGGATAGGGTGAGAAAGCAAGAACAGTTAATTACAAGAACATAAGCGCCGGCGCGTAATACAGGTTTTAAGAACCCCAGCCCTTAGCGCTGTACCGGGCCACTACGCTTTGTTTTATTCGTGCCTACATCGAATATATTTTAGTTCATGTCTGTCTTATCCTAGGTCCACTTTAATATCAGCGCGTGGTATATCCAAATTCATATTTAGACCACTCCGTTAAGTCATTTATTTAATATCACATTTACTAAATTCTTTTGGAGGGGAGAGTTTACTAGCCACAAAGCCACCCACAATGGAATCAATGTTTTGGAGGTTTAGTTTTCAGGATGTCATATCTGCATGTCATATTCTCAACGTTCGGTATCCTTTCTATATTTATTTATTACACGCCTCGAATTCACATATATCGGCTGCAGCTTAGTCGAAAATGACAGCCACCACAACTTCGCTCATATCATAATCCTCTTCCGATAGATTATCCGCCAGTGGTTTTGTTCGCCAACGCCTGTATTCGCTTCCATGAAAATCTTTTTTGCGTAGGGATTGACCTGCATTATTCAAGCACGTCCTTCGGCGCTCTCTGCTACATCTTTGTCTCTGTTTGGATCCTCCATAAAAATACTAGAAAATATCCCTCCCTCCTAGCGTCAGCTAGGCAAACATCCACCTCATTACAGCACTCAGTGAGGAAGCCTCGTCAACTCCTAAGGTCACACACCAGGAATTGAACCTGGGACCGTCTATAATCTTGACTGGATGCTCTACCACTGAGCTACCAACCCTTTAGATACTCAGTTGCAAGTCAACTCTATATGGCCATTAACATTCCATATGCACAGAAACTGTAAAACCATTTTACTGATGGCAATCTCCTTCATCTGCCAGTATACTGGTTGTAGAACCTTTTGTTGGATATGGTTGGCTGACTGCCTAGACTCAGCTTTAGAGCAGTATAGATGTGTGACTGTCTCTCAAGCACTGGAAGGAATATTCTGAGAGAGATGCTCCAGATACTCTGCAATGTCCAGGAGCCTGCTAGGATGGGACTTCTTTCTGAATCTGACTGTATCAGAACCAATTTACTGATCAGTGCTGTGGACTTCTTTATGTTTTTTTGTCCTTGCCTCTCTCACACATTTCCCTAGGTGTTTATTTGTTTGTTAAATTTCTTTTGGTTATCACATATATGTCAGGGCAATATATATAATATATATTTGCCATTTATTTTTTGATTTTTGTTTATTTTATTTTATTTTATTTTATTATGCACCTACAAACAGTACAGGCAGAGGCGCGAGCGCGATTACGTAATCGCGCTGCCGCCCGCACGAAAAGCAGCCGTGCAGCGACACGGCGCCGCGGCGCAACGGCACCGCGACGCAACACAGCGGCACGGCCAAACGACGGCGCCGACATAAGGCCGACGGCGCCGCCTACGCACCGACGGACATGCAGTCGGCACCTACGCAAGCGCCGGCGCGCCGCGCGGACCTACACAGCGCCAGGCGGGATTACATAAGCGCCGAAAGCGCGGCTATGCACTGTAGGGTGCATACAAGCCATTTTTAGTATTTTTCTCAAATTTCTAATAAATAAAAAAAACTAAATAAATATTAAATAAATAGTATAAATAGTAGACCTGTACATACTCATTTATTTAGTTTCAATCTCTTAGGAATCCCACTAAAACAAGTGTGATCTCCCCTGTCATTGAGCTGTCCCCTCCTCACTTTATATTTCTATATTCTATCTTGTGTTTGGTAGCCTTGTTAGTGTTGCCCTAACAATATATAATCACCTGGTCCTTCCCCATTTTTCTTTTCTTTTCAATCCATCTTCTTCATTGGCATCCTCACAGGTTCAACTTCCATTGCATCTGTTACAATCCATTCCTGGATATTTCAATATTCCAATGTACTGTATCCTCCATCTCCAGAAACTAACTAATCTCCAGACATACCGAACTTCACCCTTGTTCTGTATTTGGTAACTTGTCTGTTGACAAGTATTCATTCATTTGTTTATTATATTCCCAATTTGGAACTTCTATCCTAATCTGTTCTTATTGTGATCTCAATCTGTAGTACAATAGCCAGAGAATCTAGTTTCTGTGCATTTGTACTTACACCTTAGATCTGATATCAACTTAGTTAGCTTATTCCTCTTCTCTTTCTGTATGCTTGATATTTGGAACTCTTCAGAACTCTGAATATCCATAAGCTCTCCAACACTTATCAGCCGCTTAAATTAAGGACATCCAAGCATTTGTGTAGTGGTGCAGCATATAAGCTGAAGCCAAGTCCTGACCCTACTGTTATGACCATGTCACAACCCAACAGTCCCTGAGGATATTACCATCTACTGACATTGCAAGTTATTGATCAAGTCATCATATCGGAAACTGTCGGTCACTGACACTGATGTATACCTTCACAGCGATCAAACCCCATTTATGCCCCTGTCAAGTTATACTCATACTATCTGGTTATTCTTTGATACATCCCTTTTTATTATGATGATCTGTTCTACACTTTGTTTCACATATGCCTGTATATACTTGTAACCCTTGGACTATTTCCTTTTCTTGTAATCCTGCTCTCAGCTAATCAAAGCTTCTGATATTATTGTAACCTACCAGTTTTTAGTCAAGTTTATTTGTCAATAGTATTTTCTGCTCTTCCCTTAGTTAGTAGTAGTTTCTAGACACCGATAACTCATATATAAACCCACTGTAATTGTAGTTACTAGGCAATCAGAATATTGACTCAGAACACCTACATACATCTCTCATAAGCCTCACTCTAAGTATCCTGCTCCCCACCTCTGCATGCGCTCGCCCACCCTTGGTCTCTGACCCCTCGGCCCAACACTCGACTTATCCTTCAGTTTCTGATCAGTAACTCACCGTGAGGAATTCGATAGGACTAGTTTTTGCCTGCCCAAAATTTAAGGACACCCTGTCAGGAACTGGAAATCCCGCCAGCCTCTGGGCCCCTGGACCCCATCCTACATGCTCCCGACCCTCTATATTGTATAGTTACAACTGGAGTTCCCGCCGGAGCCTGCACGTCAACTTGTTTATGCCTCTCTCTGTACGCACCCCACCTGTCTGCACCTAACACTCTATGTCTCATACACCAGTCCTCGGACTCCTCCAGACTCCGGACTCCACCCTACATACACCCGACACTCTGTGTCTTATGTACCAGTCACCGGACTCCGACCGGACTCCTGGAACCCCTCTAACAGAGCATAGAACCCCGCTCCTGTTATGATCTGTCTCTGCGTCTCACACACCAGTCATCGGAAAACCCACCAGACTCCACCAGACCTCCTGCACATCAAACCTGTCTATACCCGACACTATCTTGTGCACCAAGTCACCGGACTCCGACCGGACTTCCGGAACCCCTCTAACTGAGCCCCGCTCCAGTTATAGTTAAATGACCTGTCATGATTCATTCTCCGCTCCTGTTCTGTTCCGTCTCTAATTCCTAGTTTAGTATTTACTTGTTTCGTTTTATGTTTAATAGTTCTGCCTCTCATTAATACTGGATTTGGTATTATTACATTTCACAGTCTATATAAGTCTGCTATATTCATGTACTTAGAATCCAGTTTCAATCTCGAACTACATAGTTTTCCCCCGAACAAGTTTGACCCTTGAACAAGTTTCCCTTCAATCCCAGTCTCTAGTCCTCTTGTCTGTCTGCACGCTCGATTCCCGGAACTCCCACGGGAACTCCGAAATCTATATCTCCTTGCATGCATTCTGTTAAGAACTGGAAACTGACTAATATCGGTGGCCGACAGGGACCGATCGGAAGGACTTGGCTTCAGCTTATGTGCTGCGCCCTCGCAAATATCCGTAGGATGTCCTTAAATTTCGGGCGGGCGAAGACTAATCCTAGTGAGTACCTTTCGGCGTGATACCGATCGGAATCGAAGGACAAGTCGAGCGTCGGGCCAAGGGGTCGGGGCCGGGAGTGGGCGAGCGCACGCAAAGGCGGATGGGGGGATTCTTAGTATGAGACTGATACTGGTGTATGAGGGTATTCTGAGTCGATATTCTGATTGCCTAGTAACTACAATTACAGCGGGTTCATATACAAGTAACAGGCGTCTGGAAAATACTAATGGGGAGAAGGGCGGAACACGGTATTAACAATAAGCTTGACTAGGAACGGGAAGTTTATGATTAGTTCGGAGGCCGATGATAACCGAGAGCGGGATTACGATAAAAGGAAATGGTTCGAGGACTACAAATATAGATAGACATATGCGAAACATAAGATTGAACGGATCAACATAATAAAGGGGACGTATCAAAGTTTGACCAGACAATACGAGTTATTTGACGTGGGCATAAATGGAGTTTGATCTTCGTGAAACATTCGTCAGCTTCGGGGCCGATGGTTTCCGAGAGGATGACTTGAAACGTTGACAAGTGGCGATAACCTCGGGGCCAATAGGGTTGCGACACGGTCGTAACACATTCTGTCAGTTCAAAATATGGATTCCCGAATGAATGTATGAGGGCACAGCCTATAAGCTGAACCCAAGTCCATCTCAGTCGTACCCATTCTCTGGTAACTATTCTGATACGACACTCCCTTGTACTACTAATATTCCCGGAAACTCCCCAGACCTATTACCCGGGGAGTCCGTGGGACTATTACCCGGAAAGTGTGTGTTCAGAATATAGTTACTGGAGAAACCTTCGTGGGACTATCTGTGGAGCTTTGTTCAGGAATTTAACACACCCAATGGTAACTTGTGAGTGTGCAGCACATAAGCTGAAGCCAAGTCCTTCCGTTCGGTCCCTGTCAGCCTACTGACATCAGTCAGTTTTCTGTTCTTAACACCTACCCAGAAGTATCTGAGTTCCCAGTTATTTCCTGATAGTTCCAGAATAAGTCCCAACATGGAACTTAACAGCATCATGTAATGTGTGACAAAACTTTGAGAGTGTTAAGTGCAGGAAATCTACCTGGATTTTCCAGTGAATATTCCAAGGACTTTCTAGAAATAGTCTGAGGAGTTCCTAGGAAATAGTCCATGGGATTTCCAGGGAATTGTCTGGGTGTTGGAATATTACCAGGATATGGGAAGGGATTGACTTCAGCTCATGTGCTGTGCCCTCACATGATTGTCAGGTTGTAACTTTGAACAGGTGTTGGTCTGGGTACTCTGTGGAGTCCAAGAATACATGAGAACCATAAGTCAGAAGACCCAAGGGCTCCAAAAATACACTGGGTGGGAACAAGTAGTCAGATGATATAAAAGGAGGTTCCATTGCAGGGTATGAGAAGGACTTGGCTTCAGCTTATGTGCTGCATCCTTGCACAGATGTTTGGGTGTCCTTATTTCAAGTTGACAGATGTTTACATGAGTGGTGTATATAACCAGAGTTCCAAGGAGTTTCAGATATTGAGCATACAGAAGGAACAAAGGAGTAGATTAGACTAAGTTAAGACTAATTCAAGATAGAATCTGTAGAGTGAGTATATGACTATAGAAGGCTATATAGTTGTTCCAATAATTGTACTACAAATATGAGAGTATAATAAAACATATTTGGAAATGTTTCCAAAATAAACAATAATAACAAGTTAGGTAAATGAGGAACAAGGACCAGGACAGATCAGGGAATAAGTGCAGAAACAATAAGCAAGCAAATGTATTCAAGGGGTCTGGGTCATGGATTACCAAAGCATCTAGAAGAGCACAGGAGTCCAAACCAGAGTCCAGGTTAGGTAACGACCAAGGACACTTGGAGAA